AGACGGCAAGCTAACCAGGGCACCCGGGCCTCACGCAAGTTCTTGATATAGATATGTATATACCAATACGCCAATACGCATGTTTGATCATATTTGCCAACGATCTAGCCAGCAGGAGAAAGTATATAATAGTGGGGAAGGGAAGAACAGGTGCGCTGAGCAAACACAGTGCATGCTCATTTGATGACATGTCACACCCAAAGTGTTGAAACCAACCAACAGCTAACTCCAATGTGGTTTCAACAAGCGGAGTTGTGGTGAGCCAGCCAGGCAGGGAACCAGTGCATGCGGGCACAGCAAATTTGAAAGAGGCTAACCTTGGATCAAGTCACTGCGAACACCGAAACCAGCAACTGAAAACCTTGTGCTGACCACAATTGTAGTCTATGCTGAAGTGCAAGCAATGCTTGCTGCCCACATTGACACGCATCACACACACTTATAGAAATGCGTACTGAACTGAATGCCACATGCCACACGCCCACCTAGCAGTGAACGCCTAAGGGTTCAGGTTAATTAGGTGGTAACTGACGAACCTTCCAAGGAACCTCCAAGGCCCACGAACTCGAACTGCGTAAACGCGACAATCTGACGACGGTCCGTGCACATCTGCAGAATAAAAATGGAAAAGGTGGCCACCAACTGCGTCTTACTATGCGCCCAGGTGCACCAAGCAGGTATGTTTTCCTGATCATCCAGAGTGGAGCTTCGTTGGCAGAGGCCACAACTGGAGATCCCTCTGCCCCCTGCTTAAAAAACGAAAGACACACTCCAACGTGACTCCAAAGGTTACACACACACGCCCCGCCGAGGGGGGCAAAAAGAATTAAGGCTAGGACGGTTGTGAAAGTGTGGGTGCAGCAAAGACAAAAGGATGAAGACATGAAAAAGAGGACGAGACGGGACAAAGGTGTATTTGGCTGCAATGAAAAAGAAACCAAGTGCACAGGGATAACCGATGAACCCCACCTCATTGTCAAGACCTGGGCGACCTAAAACCTTGCACTAAGGCCAGGGCCAATGTGTGCGCAAACGACAGGAGGACATGAAAGAAAAGATGAAAACAAAAGTGTGCAAAGGGGAAAGGATGAAAAGTGAAACCAAATGGAGGGGACGAAAACCAATGAACCCAAGCCTCATTAGAAAACCTAGGCAAACCTCGTTGAAGATGTACGTGCTGTGTGTGCACCTGAGGTGGCGACGGGTCCCAATGGACCCTAAAATGCTTTGACCGCTCTGGTCACCCTGCGCCGTGCCAAAATGGCTGCCTGCTCAGACCGCTCCGGTCACCTAATGGCTTGCTCGAAAGCTGCCTACTTGTACTTAATAATGCAGCAAGTCTTGGCAAATAATTTTGGCATAAGCCTCCTACGCTCGCTGCGAGCTGCTCTGTATCCGGGCAGGGGATACGTCCGACAAACCCCCGTTCAACGGGTCCACAGGGGGCACTCTGCGGGCTCACCCTGGGCTCTCACAAGAGAGACACACTAAAAGAAATGCGTACTGACCTGAATGCCACATGCCACACGCCCACCTAGCAGTGAACGCCTAGAACCTTCCAAGGAACCTCCCAGGCCCACGAGCTCGAAATGCGTAAACGCGACAATCTGACGACGGTCCGTGCACATCTGCAGAATTAAAGTGGAAAAGGTGGCCACCAGCTGCGTCTTACTATGCGCCCAGGTGCACCAAGCAGGTACGTTTTCCTGATCGTCCAGAGTGGAGCTTCGTTGGCAGAGGCCACAGCTGGAGATCCCTCTGCCCCCTGCTGAAAAGTCGAAAGAAGCGCTCCAACAGGAACTTTGTGACTCCAAAGATTACACACACACACACTTTTAAAGCTTTCCAGAGCCTGACCACGAAGTGCCCCGAGAACACAAACCCAAGACTGTCCAAGAAACACTTGTTTTGACTGCATTGTTGCAGGGAGACACCAATGATATTGGGTCAAAGTTCAAGAAGTGTCTATTGGTATCAGCACAGAATAGATCATGTTGCATCAATTGCATTTGTTGCCGCCCTGGCGACACTGGAATGTTCCACAGATAAGGCTGTCGCAGTGGAAAGTTCCATTGCTGCCTCCGGGACCGGCCTTTTTGTGGCTAAATTGATGCGCACAATGGCCGCAGAGTTTGAGATTGAGGGATGAGTTATGTTTGCGTGTTTTTTGCAGAGTGGTTTACAAGCAACAAAGAATGTGTTGTTTTTGTTTGCTGGAACATGTAGCTGCTCGAAATAAGAGCATCCTGCCATTCTATACATGGACGTTTAATCTAAGGCGTCTAAAGCCAAGATTAAATCCCCGGTAAGCAAACTGAATGATGAATACTCTATTTGAAAGGCCTTAAATGAGTAGCTGATTGTGTGGAAAAGACATCCAACATCCTCATGGCCTCATGGTACCCAAAGCAATGCTGGAATTGTTGCTAATGCCTTGTTGATGCCTTTGCTATGAACAATTTGCTGTTGATGTTTGAGGATTTGAGGTCGGGCATTGCTTCTTGAGCCTTTTGTCTAGCTGAATGTCAATCTGCAAGACCTTGGTGTCCTTGGTGCCTCAGGTATCCTCAGACGTCTTCAAGCTGAAGAGGTCCTTCAACCTGGGTGTCACAAGATCTGAAGATCTCCATATATTTAGCATTTACCCAGCGTTAAGGGTGCTTGGTTGCGGGACATGTCAGTGAGTGTTGGTGTGTCATAAGATGTCTCTATCCTACAGTTATTTGATGTTTTTTGTTTGCATGTAAACATTGATATATTTATAATACTATATAACTATATATATACATCAGTTATATATATATAAATATATTATAGATAATAAATATATAGACTGTGTGTATATATACACACACCAGTATAAGTTAAAGTATGTATACACTTCGTGTGTGTGTGTGTGTCAGGCTGAAACATGAATCCACGAAGCTTGCTTTGGGACGCAATTTGGGAAAGCCCGGTTTCAGGAAGCCAAAGAGGACAATGAAGAAAATGAGGAGGAGGCCAGCATGTCCTTCAAGTTGTCGGCTTTGGCCCGAATTGGACCGTTGTCAGAAGCTCTTTTTGCTCTCTGTATTGGAACTGGAGAATCTGGCAAAAGGACAATCTTATGCTTGGGAACAGCTACGCTTGGCCCATCAAGGGCAAGCGGCAAGCAGTCCACTCGAAATCCTGAGTTGCCACGAGCCGACGGACTGCAGTAGCGGACCGGATTGTTTGAACTTCGGGCCCAAGATTCTGCAGAGTGTTACTCCGACAGCCAAGTGTTTCTGCTTTGACACCCCAAACATCCCCAAACCATGGTTTGTGGGCGTTTGTGGGCTAGGAAGTTCCTAGACTCTATACTGAGACACAGGGATGTGTCGAGGCTAAACCTCTCTTTATTCATGCAGGAGAGTGAGGATGAGGATGATAGCAACGAGGACAAACAAACTTTCGAAAGGAATCCAAAACTTCTGTCACTTCCAAAACGGACAAGTCGAACATCTTCGATCCTTGTAGATCTTTGAGAGTTGGTAGCCGTGCATTTGCTACACCAGTCACACTCACTGGTAAGTGTAGGACGACCTGGGAGGTGTACTCTACCCTAGATGCTATTCAAGACTGTTGAAATTGTATGAAATTATCTTAGATTTATCTTGTTTGAGAGGGTGTTGTCCAATCTGGTTTCCATAACAGGAGCTAGCGCCACCACCACCGCAGGTTGCCACAGTGTTCCTTGGCAAGATCAATTCTGGATCTAAAACGCATGGAAAAGCTCGTGTGAAACCCAAAGCTTTGCAAAAAGGCAGAGTGATGAGTGATGATTGTGCTCAATATCGGGAAGCAGAGTGTGGAATTGTTGATCCGTGTCTTCGAGGCGCCTCAACATGAACTCGCACATTCAGAAAGGAGAGCGCAATCTTTCTCTTGCGTAAGATGAATGCGATCCTGTCCTCAGATGTCCCCAGTCCAAGTAGCGCCAGATGTCTAAAGGCTTCAGAGAGAAAGGTCGGCACTGAGAAGTGATGCAGCTGAGTTATCAAGTTCTTCGCTTCTTCACGGTCGATGCTTTATGGTTTGCTCATGACTTGCACGCTGTTTTAGCTGTCCCAGTGAGTGCTGAGTGCACTCGTATCAACTAAGTGGTATAAGAGTTGCATCATTTGAGAAAGATAATACAAGAAATTGGAAGAGATGAATACTGCTACAGTATTACATATGTGTGTATATATATACTGTTTGTTAAAAAGCAAAACGGTTTTTGTATATGTGTGTTGACCATATTCTGATCCAAATCGGATTGATTCTCAGGAGCAAAACAAGCAGACGTCGCAGCTGCTCACCTCTGAAGGGGAATGGAGTGGACTCGGCGAAAAGTGGGTTTAGGCCTTTAGGCCATGCAAAAGAATGGTACGAAATGTTGTGGCCACAAGTTACAACTCGAGGCCACTTAGATGAATCTTGTGGGGCGGAAGACTGGCCGGCTTTGGCGGCAGACCATTCACAGCGCGCATGGATTCGGCTGGACATGGTTGAAAAGTGAGTGCGCGTGCTGGGCCATTTGGTCGAATGACAGGCAGCCTTCAGATTGAGAACACGCGAGAACGGTAGATTGCAATTGAGCAGTTCATTTGTCGCCCTGCTGGTTCAAGGGTGAGTGAAGTCGACACCTTGACAATTTAATTAGCTGCGAAGTAGCATGTACCTTCATGGCCGCTAGCCCTAAAAAATTATTGTCAAACCTACGGAATCGGTTTGACATTTGGGACTTCTTCCTTGGTAATCAAAGTGCACAAGCATATAATGTACAAACATCATCTCCTCTCACTCCTTTTGGCTTCTTTGTTTACAAAGCTCAGAGTGAAAAGCACAACAGCAGCAGCAACGACAACAACAGCAGCAGCGACACAACAGAAGGTGAAACAATGTCAAATGCGGTCTAAATTCACAGCTTTGGCAATCAAATGTAGGAAATGTAATGCTCAATGATAGTCAGCAGTGGCTTTACTTTTTCAGCGATCTGATCACAAGTTCCATCCGCCATGAAGCTTCGGCAGAGGGAGCCCTCAGGGCATCAGACCACCCTCCTGAAGCAGCTGCGAGAATTTTGGACCACAGGATATCTATGTGACGTTGTGTTGCAGAGTTGTGATGGCAAAGAGCACCGCTGCCACAGAAATATTTTGTCAGCAACCAGTTCTGCTCTGAAGGGCCTGCTTTCTGAATCTTTCAGTGAAGGACAGCAAATACAACTGGGACAACCAGTCGAAATAGCTGCTTCTGATGTTGTTGTTGATGCATTACTTGACCACATCTATGGTGGAGAGCCTGACATCTCCGCACCAAATGCCATCGAACTCTTGCGGCTTGCTACGGCATATGAGCTGCCAAAGCTGGTGACAGAAATCGAATCAGAACCCTGGTCGAAAGATTGGCTGTTTTTGTGATGCCAACAAAATATCACGCGGAGGGTTTCCCATGAATCTCAATGTATTTAAGGGTGAGTAGTACTTGGAGTCGTCTATATAGATAGATCATGATGGACATTAATGAGGGGCATTCTATTGGAAGATCACTAGATTTTTTTGTACACGTTTCGTGGCCAACTTGGTGAATTCCAACTTGAGGAATTGCGAGCCTCATTGGACAGCACCAAGGCATTACAATTGCTCCAGGAAATTCATACCTTGGGATTGCCAGATTTGAGGCTTGCTTGTGAAGAAGAGATAGCTCGTGACTTTGAGAGCTGTGTGCAGCAAGCAACCTTCAAGAGCCTCAGTGCAGCGCAGTTGGCACGCCTTCTAGCAAGAGAAGATCTATGGGTCACACGTGAGGAGGTGGTTTTGCAGGGGCTGTTCAACTGGCTCAAAGCCTCCAGCGAACGGAGTAGCAGCTTGGGCATATTACTACCACTGATTGACTTTAGAGCGCTGTCCGCAGCTAATCTGGAAAGATTCCGCTTGCTAGCGCAGTCGATGGGTCAAAACGGCTTCGACTTGCAGCTTGCGGTCGATGAAGCACGACAGCCGCTATGGCAAGAGCGTCCAGCTAAGAGGCGATGCTTGCAGTGTTGGTCACCAGAACTCGGAGCCTTTCCTCGATGTTTTGAGTATGGCCAATGGGTCGCAGGAGATTGGGAGGATGAATTCAACGGACATGGAAGCTCAGCAAGTTAGATAAGCAAAGAAGGTTTTTCTTAGAGCCAAGATGAGGCATGTTTCTTCTAGGTTTAATTCAGAACCACCGGGCCACAAGTGAGGAAAATTGCGCTTTTGCTGGCACAAGGGTGATATTTATCATATTGATATGGGTGCACTTGTTAGTTGGAAGTCTGATGGCACAGGGTCTGTTATGGCAGCACAAGGGTCTTTGAACGGCAGAGGCGTAGCAGCTACCCCACAAGGCGAAATCCTTGCTGTTGGCGATGACAGTTTGTTGACCTTCAAGGGCGGTGCAGGATCGGTAAAGCTTGAGATCCCAGGCTTGCTAAGCGTTTGCTGCTCGCCCAACGGAAAAATCTACGTGTTGAACAAGTGCTTCGACGACCATGGATGGTTTGAAAGCTGGACAGTGCAGCGATTGGAAGGATCTACTCTTGTTCCAATTCTGGTGAACTCCGAAAGGCCCCTAAGTTTCCCTAAAAGTCTAGGAACCAAATCATTAGTGCTCACGCTTCTTCAAGGAAGCTGCCCCCGCTGCCCTTGGGTGGCGGGGGGAGCTTCCTTGAAGAAGTGTGACCTATCCTGCGTCCAAAGTGGTAGCTTACTTGTAGATAGTAGCTACCTCTAGCTACTACCTCTACTAGCGGCCTACCCCTCCAAAAAAATAATGCACAAAGAAATCTGGTGAACTCCGAAAGGTTCCAGTTTTTGTTACTATATAGTAATGTTCTTTGTTACTACTAGCTTCTTGCTGCTAGTAGTAATGCCCTTTGTTACTAGTAGCTTCTTGTTCCTACTACTAATGCCCTTTTTACCTACTAGTAGCTTCTTGTTCCTAGGAGTAATGCCGGGAGCTACTAGTAGCGAAGCCCTTTGTTACTAGCAGCTTCTTGTTCCTAGTAGCAATGCCACGACCTGCTAGTAGCTTGTTGCTACTACAAGCGATGCCCTTTGTTACTAGTAGCTTCTCGTTCGTAGTAGTAGTGCCAGGAGCTACTAGTAGCTTCTTGCTACTAGTAGTAATGCCCTTGCTACTAGTAGCTGTTTGTTCCTAGTTGTGATGCCAGGATCTACTAGTAGCTTCTTGCTACTAGTAGGGATGCCTTTTGTTAATAGTAGCTGTTTGTTCCTAGTAGTAGTGCCACTAGCTGCTTTTAGCTTCTTGCTACTACTGCGGATGCCCTTTGTTACTAGTAGCTTCTTGTTCCTAGTAGTAGTGCCGCTAGCTGCTAGTAGCTTCTTGCTACTAGTAGCGATGCCCTTTGTTACTAGTCGCTTCAAGTTCATAGTATATAGTAATGCCGCCAGGAGCTACTAGTAGCTTCTTGCTACTAGTAGCGATGCCCTTGGTTACCAATAGCTTTCTGATCCTAGTAGTAATGCCAGGAGCTACAAGTAGCTTCTAGCTACTACTAGGGATGCCCTTTGTTACTAGTAACTTCTTGTTCCTGGTAGTACTGCCAGGAGCTACTAGTAGCTTCTTGCTACTAGTAGTAATGCCCTTTGTTACTAGTAGCTTCTTGCTACTAGTAGCGATGATGCCCTTTTTACCTACTAGTAGCTATGCCCTTTGTTACTAGTGGATTCTTGCTGGTAGTAGCGATGCCCTTTGCTACTAGTAGCTTCTTGCTACCAGTAGCGACGCCCTTTGTTACTAGTAGCTTCTTGTTCCCAGTAGCAGTGCCAGGAGCTACTAGTAGCTTCTTGCCACTACTAGTAATGCCCTTTCCTACTCGTAGCTTCTTGTTCCTAGTAGTACTGCCAGGAAGCTACTAGTAGCGAGTCCCTTTGTTACTAGTATATAGCTTCTTGCTCTTGTTCTGATTCTGGTCAACTCCGAAAGGCCCCAACAGTTCCAACCGCGGAGAATCTTCGTTTCACAAGACGAGACGCTCTACATGGTTGGCACGCAATGTGTTCGCAGTTCTTCCCTCTTTGATTCGGATGATTCATCATCCAGCGATCCAACTCACTGGGTTTTTGGGCGCATCACTGGTGACGCGAAAACGGTAATCCTGGGCCGCCTTTTCGGAGACTATTTTTCCACGGTTTTGTTGCTGAGCTGCATTACACATTGATTAGATAAATGAGCTGCACCAGATGTTTCACCACTGTTTGTTCGGAAGTCAGTATAACCAATCCTATCATCGGATCAGCTAACTCAAGGTTTGCTACGGAGAGCGGAAAGCTATATATAGCTGCATTTGATGATGAGGAGGAGCGCACTATCATTTGGACTGTCAACCCTGGTGATGAGACTCCCATGTTGGTGTTGAGAGCTGGCGACTATGTCCCAGAAGACATCTTGCTGATGGACGGATATCTCTACCTGCTCACTTCTACTCGACAAGTTTATAGATACGCCTTGCCTCTCGCTCCTGAACTGGAGTAAATAAATGTTGTATCACTGAAGTAATTTGGGTACGAGTATTTATATCATGATATACTTCCCAGTGTTTGCTGAACAGGGCCCAGAGAATCTTTGGGCCACACAGGAAACGGAAGGGATTGCTCTGAATGAGAATGACAAAGACAGCATGTGCTGCGAGGATGGAAAAAGAGATGAAATAGCGGTGTTTGAGGTTTCAGAGTGTTCAAAGTCAGCCTTCGCTGAATGGGGCCAGGCCTTCGTTCGGCTCAGCTGTTGCCAGCGCCCATGGGTTGCAACCAGGACAGGGGCTAGTAGCTTATTGCTCCTAGTAGCAATGCCCTTTGCTACTAGTAGCTTCTTGATCCTAGTAATGCGGAGTGTCAGCCTCAGCACCTCAGCACATTCTTGGCAATGAAACATTACCTACTGCGCTCTACCAAAGCATTTTCCTGTTTTGCCTTGAGTACGAGAAGCACAGAAAGTTGTGGCAGGACAGACCAAGAGCTTTATGCATACTTGGCTCAGCGAAGTCTGAGCTTCCAAGTGTGATTGAGATCAGGCAAAAGCCAAATATGGGTGTAGTGTACAACAGTTAGCATGTACGGGTCAGTATGAGCACAGACTTCATTTGAAGATTGAAGGTTTTTATGCATGTGTTAAGAGTCCTTATGGATTCAAGAAACTTGGAGTTTGAGTTGAGTTGTTACGCTCTTCGTTTACAGTCAAAGTACAAACTGGCAGCTTCTCGTTGCCAAGGCAATGACTCAAACATGGCACAGCTGGCCGAGTCTCCGTCCCCAAAGGCATCTTGGAATTGTACTACGTGTCACAGTCATTATGTTTCACCTGTTTGATGTTCAAGAAGGAAAGACTTCGGGAAAGAAGACCACCCAGTCACCGTCATTGCGCTGTTTCACATACGTGGCAGAGGTTCTGGCGACACACCGCTCCGAGTGGGTTGTCGACTGATCCCCACGAACCAAATCCGTCCCAAGACAAGGAGGAAATCGGGACAAAAAGTAAAGATAACAAGGTCCCTTGTTAAAGTTTGTGGCGCCCAGTCCATCTTACGTATATATATCTTACGTACCCCTCCCCCGACTCCTCTTTCACTTCCTAACCCCTTCACTTCCCAAAACGAGAGCAGAAGGAGAGCCTGAGAGCTCTCTTTCTTTTTACCTCTGCTATCTCTTCAGCGAGGGTGCCCTGCACAGGCAGAAACCCCAAGCCGGTCAGTTGTGGAAGCCTCAGCAGCTTCCTGGCAGACATCCGATTGTTTGGGGTGATGCCCTTAGCTACTTGCAACAAGTGCATCGATACTAGTAACAAGGTGCATCACCCACAAGAAATGAGCTTGCAGCTTCCATTCGATCCGAGAGAGGAACACACTTGCAACTTGCAGCATTATTACGAGCTGATTTGTTGTGTACGCTGCTGAGGTGACACGACTTTGCATGCCATGAATTTATTGTTTCATGTTATGTAACGGAGTTGACTCCCTTGAGGCATTGCAGTCAAAAAAGCTGAGGTGAAATACAAGCATGACCATCATACAGAGCTTTTCGATAATGTTCTGCGGCAGGCACAGCAGAGTGTGTGTGTGTGCCGGATTGTCATTGTCATTATTAACTATTTGTTTGTATTCAACTGATTGTTTGTATTCACAATATGAATTGGCTCAAATGATATGTGTTTGACAAAAAAGCTTTCACATAGGAACTGGTGCACACCGATGGACTAGTGACGATTCGTCCAAGGGATGCAGCAGTCCTTTTCTCTTTGTTCTATTCCATTGCATTTAGACCCTTGAATCTGAACCTTTCTTTTCCCTGGGTCTTTTTTCCTCCTTTTGGGCTGTTGCCACCACGAGATCCAACCAGCAAGCTTGCCAGGACCAGTCTCGTCCGCAGAGTGTCTCCTCCAGAAGAGCTGTGCCGGGCAGCCCGAACAGGATGATGGGGATCCTTCTGTATGTGTGTGTGTACTGTGTATATATATATAATGCTTGCATGTGGCATCGAGCGCAAGTGAAAAATGAAGGATGGCTCGGTGGCTTCACGGAAGTGCCGCTACAGAACAGAAGCTTCAGATCAATAACACACACATGGACAAATTACGGCAGCATAGACCCCAGATAGAAATTAAGCTACTAGTAACAAGTGCCACGCTACTAGGAACAAGTGCCTTACTAGTAGTAACAAGAAGCTATTAGTGCCTTATTAGTGCCTGGCCTAGCAAAAGATATTTAAGGACAGCGCCCTGCACCGTCACGAGCACGGCTCCAAAGCGCGTACAGCCATAGGCATCTGGCAGCAACAAGCATCCGGCACCAACGTCCAAGCTCCAAAGCGCACACGGCCATACACATTTGGCAGCGGCACCAGCACGCAGGCTCCAAAGGGCAAAGGGCCCCTGCAGCGGCCCCAGCCCCCAGCCTCCAAACCGCACACAGGTACCTTTTCCTATACTTGAAGTAAGAACCCCACGAAGTAACAGCCGCAATGGCTCTGGCTATCTAACAATTTTTTCCAGATCAAGCTTCCAGGTTGAAGTTCTGAAGCTTTGTGCAGTGATCGTGTTTCCATATTTGTCGATCCCTCAAATCAACCTTTGCAGTGTTCCTGATTCCTTGCTCTCTTTTGATTGCATCTCATCTTCCTTCTAGTCCCAGCGAAAGATTCGCCATTCGCCACGACGGGTTGATCTAAAAAAGGGCATGTACGCAAGTATTGATCAATTTCAACTTTTTTGCAAGGCTGTCACTTCCGAAGCTCAGGTTTTGGAGCTCTTTGCCAAGTGCGCCAAACGGTTTTTTCACCACTGTTCAGGAATCTCAAAGTAAGCACATGTGTTTGTGTGCCCTGAGTGAGAAACGAATACTGATAATACTGTAGATTGACAGAGCGCACCGTGAAGTATTCATTACAGTTGTTGAACAAATTGAACAATGAGGAAGGCAGTGCTTAAGTACCGCATATGGTCCAGATTTGCATCAATTGTACTGTTTGGAAAGAAACAACATGTCGCTTTGGATCGGATAATTCTAACCATTACGGTGTTTTCCTGTCAGTGTTTCAACTCTGTGCAAAAATCGAACCAGTAGGTTCATGTCTACTTCCAGGCCAAAAGAAGGAAGGTTGGCTTTGAACGCAGGTTCGCCAAAGAGCCCGAACCCTCCAAGGAGATTTTTGTGTTCACTTGCTGATCCTGTTGAGTAAAACACAAACATGTGATTCACAAGCTCTGACCAAGCCTGTAACTGGCCACATCATCTACAATAGGGGACAGCCTCAGTGACCTATATAAAGATGCTTCATGAGTTTCATGTCCAAGCACTTTGCCATACTCTGAATTGGTCAAAGTGGGCAAACTGCAACATGTTGAGATCAATCCAAGTGCTCAAAAAGGGGTTTGCCTCTACGCCAAGAATCAAAGGTGCTTGCTTCAGCCCGGCTAAACAATGATTGAGGTGATATCAGCGATATCCTTGATGTCTCAGAGAGGCTCTCCAAGTCCTGCATTCAGGAGGCATACAGACTTGCCCAAATCACGTGAAGTCGGTGGCCTGGAAAGAGGTCAACTCGCACAGACGATAGCCAAGACTGCCAAGGTCATAGCCCACTCTTTAATTTAAAAACTGCCAAACAGAGAATCTGACTACTCAGCTCAGGTCACAAATCGTCTTTACGGAGACTACCTGCGACGGAAGGAGAGGGCTGAGGTGCTTTGCTTTGGACTGCACGCAGAAGTGTCTCTGAAAATATCTTTCTTGAGCAAATGTGAGTGTGCGTGCTGGTGTGCCTCTCGCTTGTGTGTGTTTATGCATTTGTTCAAGCACACGAGGAGACAGATTCAATTCATACTGCTTGCACTTATTTTGGCAGGCAAGAATGCTCCTCGCTGGTGTGCCATGGGACCAATCCAAGATGGATGAGGTTGGAAAGTTGAAGCCTTGCTGTGTTGCCATTTTGGAAAAATTTGACTGGACCCACATTCTTGGCCGACACGACACGAGCTTCAGAAAGCTGTGTTTACAAAGGTTATCAAAGGTTATACTGTAGTTACAAATGCAAAATGAGAATGACATGTGGGCTGGCAGATGTCTTCCTGTACAACTCCATCTACCAGTGCCTCTTCACGCTTCTTGGAGCTTATCGAGGTGGGCCTTAGGAGTAGAGTAAGCAGCATCAGGTGCCAAACACATCTACCACCGCATCATGAGATTTGCTTGTCTGGTGTTCTTCGCCTTTCCTTCAACTGCCTCAAAGATGACTGCTTACGTGTATGCTTGGAAGTCTTTGATTAGAGGTCTGATAGTCATTCACAGAGTCAGCGTTTCGTTACGGTTGTTTGTGGTCAATTTATCGCACATGTGAGCGAGAGAGGATAGAGTGACTTTGCTGCAGCCAGGATCTTTCAGTGAAGGCTGGGAACTCAGGGCAGATATGTCCGATGTCAAGGAAATGTTGATGGATTTGGCAAGAGAAGCGGTGTGCCATGGGATAGTCACAGACAGCAGCCCAACAGAAGACGAAGACTTCAGATGGGGTGGTTATATCATCCGTCAGTTTGACAGGAATGTGCCGTAGTGAGACAATTGCGATGCGTTAGAAGGCCAGGACTAGTCTCCTTATACTGAAATGCATCGTGACGCCCAGGATATTGTCCCTTGTCCAGAGGAGCGGGATTGTCCAAAGTCATCCATATGTGGATGCCACAGTAACAGGCTTTTGGATTCTTTTGGAGAAACTGTGAGAGCTTTGTCACTTAGTTGGTATCAATGGAGTAACTCCCTAAAGAAGACGCTCAATTTCTGCTGGAGGGCTGATGTCATTTCCATGTTTCCAGGTGTGTTTGTTGTGTTTCCGGTGCATACCATTTTGCCGCATCACTGATTGGAAAGTCCTGGCACGTTCGGTTGCTTGGAGTACCACCTGGGCCTGCAGTTGCGCGATCAGATTACATATATTTATATATACAGTATATAGAACATTCTACAACTGAACTTGAGCCATAGGAACCCAAAATCGATCGTGATTTCCAGTGGCGTTCAGAAATTGCATGGCCTTTGATTGTACTTACATGCCTGACCGCGCAAAGATACAAAATGAACTGTTGTTCGGTTCTTTTGAAAGAAGGGCAACTTGAGAAAGAACCAGTTGTATAGATGATTACAGCATCATAT